TTCAACCGATTTCAACAAAACTTCACTTTTTTTTTTGGCAGGTAGTGTTTCTTATTGTCTTGCACACTTTGTTTTCTTTATTTTTAAATACAGAATGCTTTAAAAATTCCATTTACAAGACAAATGTTTATAATAAAATTCTATTCAATCGGTAGACTCATAACGATTGAAAACAATGTTTTTGTTTGAGTTTGGGTTTGACCAATTCGTAAAAAAATAAATAAATAAATAAAACTAATTAAGACATGCGTGTCCGTCAACCTTAAACAATAATCTTTGTCAATTTTATTTTTCAGTCTTTATGATGGTCGATACTTGATCTATCTCTTACTGTTATATCCCCGGGCAACGCCGGGCTCTACTGCTAAAAATATAAATCTTGATCGAAAAACTTTCAAATTATTTAAAAAAGTTAAACAAATAATATAACTATAGTGTGTGCAGTGAATGCGCAAAATTTCTTACATTGTCGGCGTGTGACCCCGTGGAAAGTTATTGTAATGGTTATTTTCCGGATTACGGCCAGATCCCGTTGACATACCTTCCCCAATACGTGCCCCAGAAATTTTAACTGCCTCTTCCTGATGTTAAGTATAATTTTCATTTTTGTTTCCATTCTCTCAAAAACCTCGTTTCTACTCACATGTTCGGCCCATGGTATCCTCAGCATCTTTCTATAGAACCACATTTCTGTTGTTTCAAGTCTCTTCTTCATCTTTGTGGAGATAGTTCAGCATTCGCTGCCGTACAGGAGGACAGATATCACGCAACAGTTCAATATTCTTCTTTGTTTCCAACGAAATTTTCTTGTCTCTTATTACTCTGCTTAGCTTTTGGAATGCATCTTTGGCCATCCTAATACGTCTTCGGATCTCAATGTCGCACTTTCCGTCCTCAGAACATTTACCAGATATCACTTGTCGAAAATCATTACACTCATTAATTTTTAAATAAATCAAAGGACTTTATTTTGAATTTTCTTTCCTAGCTGATTAAAAAAAATTACCTACATTCTGTTGTTAACTGGGAGAAGAAATAGCTTGTTAATTGTAACGATTACAAAACGAAACTGCTCACTTTGAATCGTCTGAGAGAATCTTTTTTGCCTTCCATCAACATGGCTAATGCTAACCTCCAGGAAAGAGATTTCCGAGGCTAAAGTTTTTCACTGACAGGAAGTGGAAAGATTATATTGAATCAATTGCTAGATTTGCTGCTAGGAAAGTTAGTTCACTGTGTCATGCTAGATAATTCTTCTTGCCAGAATCTGTCTTGCAAATTTATAAGTCTGTTATTCGTCCATGTATTAAATATTGCTGTCACATGTGGTCTGGTGTTTTTACTATGTGTCTAGAGATACTTGATAGAATCCAAAGAAGTATTTGAAATGTTATTGGTCCAAACCTGGCACCTCAGTTTCACTTACTTTCCCACTGCCGTAACATAGCTTCGCTGCTTTTTCTATAAATATTTTCATGGTAATTGTTACGATAAACATTCCTCATTATTTTATTTAGTTTCTTGTGAATAGATTTGTATTTATATTGTAAATACTCATTGGGGCTAGTTTTTAAATTACTCTTTTTATGAATTGTACATATGGGGTTTAGTTGGGACTTTAATGGAGACAATGAGGTATTATGGTGGATGTAGTAAGAAAAGTAAGAATGTGTTGTTTTGGTATAAGGAATATTGTTTGTATGATTCGGTCAGTGTTTGTGGCTAGCTAAGTTTAAAGTTAAGACAACAGAAGACCGTCCTTTTCTCCAATCCCCATTTTGGCTTTGTGTCACATTTCTGTAAATAGCAGAATAAATATTACTTTCCTTTTAGTACCAAGACTTTATGAATTTAAGCATAGTACGAGATTGGCACTTAGAACTCATCATTTTACGGTTGTATCTATCTACTTATCACCATGCTCGATAAAATATTCATATGAAAAAATCATTATATATATATATATATATATATATATATATATATATATACACACTACAGTTTAAAATGTTCGAGGCCATCCCTGGTAAGTTTTTTTAAATTGGCCCTCCAAAGTAGTTCTTTTGTATTTTAAATAAGAGAAAATTATTAAACATGGTTAAAAAAAAAATAATAGTGAAACATGATTTTTTTATTTGGAATTGTATTCTGACAAATAGAAAAAAATCATTTTACGATTAAATTTTTCTCTCGTCAAATTATCCTCCTTTAACTTTAATTACTGCAGCACAAATTTTTGACATTCGTTGAAAATTTTCTCAAATTATAAGTTTGAGAACTGATTCCATTCTTTTTTCAGTGGCTCTAAGGACCTTTTTTTTTTTTTTTTTCACTTTTCTGTCAATTTCATCCCATGCTAATTCTGAAGGTAGCTTCAAACTTTTTGAGTTGTAATGATATATATATATATATATATATATATATATATATATATATATAATTAATTTATAATAAAATATATATATATATATATATATTTTAAAATTAAAAAATTACTGGTTTTTCATCTAAATTTCTTTGAGTTGTTGATTTGAAAAAAGACTAAAAAATTTCTTTATATTAGTTTTCATTTAAAATTGAATGAAAATTTTAATGTTTCATCGAAAAATTGAAAATAAATAATGTGGTTTTTTTTCAAACCATTTTGAATCATGGTTAAACTGTTGAGTTAAAAAATTCTTTTTTAAATCAATTAATTCATAATATTCTCTGTAAATTTACATTGAAGTAACTATTTTGTAAAAAACAAAATATCTATAAGAACACCGGATTATATATCTCGCAATTTTTTTTCTTTTATATATATATATATATATATATATATATATATATATATATATATAAACATATCATCCATACGCATAAACACATATACAAATAAATATAAATAAAAAAATATTCATACATTTAATATATATAGATAAATATACTTGTGATTATAGCCCCTCTTATATCTATAGAATATATATAAAAATTGTAGGTACATCTAAAAAACATAACATCAAATATATATTTATATACTCACTTAAGACAATTATAAAGCTATGCATATTGTTAGATACATCCTACTTATCGTCCTGGGTATGACGATAAACTACATCCGACAGCAAAGCCTCTGATCAGGAGGTTTTTCAGAGAACTGGAACAAAACCTGTATAACTATAATTGCTGGTGTTCAGGTCCACAATGGTTGGGGTGGTAGCATCTTCAGGGTCCCAGGTAAGGGCATATAGTTAACATAAAAAAAGGGGTAAAACACTATGTAAGTATAAAAATAGTTTTTTTATACCAACAAAATTTTTTTGAAAATTATTACCAGCAATACATATTTGAAAAAAAAATTATTACCAACAATAAAAATCTTGTCGGCATTAGTTTTTACTAACCCATTATGGTTGATATGCCGCCATGGTGGTGAAGTCACCCTCACAACAGTCAAAGGAAAAAAGTTCGCCCCAAATTCTCACAAATGGGCGCCTCGACACGCAATAAGCAAGTTTTACGCGGAATAAAATTAAAAAGAAAAGTCTAGCAACACAAAAACGAAAACGAATTAAATTTTCAGACGTAAGGCGGGGGTGAAAGAAAATTAAATTGGTCTTGTGCATAGCAACAAAGGGAAAACTAAATAGGGTTTTGGGAGTGAAACATAAAAAAAGTGAAAGATAAAAACTTGGCTTGTGTAAAAAAAAACAAAACAAAAAAAAACTGGAAATGAAAAAGTGCAAAAAACTTTCACAAATAAAAAAAAAAGAAAAAGAAAAAATTAAAAACATAGACTTAACGTGAATTCTGTTCTTCCAAAGAGTTCAAAAGTAAAAAAAAAATCCACAAACTTGTCGGGTGAAAGTTGTGCTGGGAGGGAGAAAAAAAGAAAAAAAGAAAAACACGTAATACCAAGGTAATGTCTCGCCTTCATTTTCCTTGTCTTTTCACTTAAATCTTTTAAAAAAATTTAGTTCTTGCTGTCGCGCTTCGTCTTCCGACCCTATCAAGTCAAACAATTTCTAATATTTTTTCCAGTTGACAGTTTTATACCAATTTATCTTATCCAGAGATTTATTCTGGGAAATTTAACTGTATTATAGACATGAAAAAAAACTCTCAGTAAAAAGGAAATTACCAATATCCAGAAAGAAAGAGGCTTACGCAGGAGTGTTTCTCTTTTTTAAATTTTGGATTTAATGTAACTATGACAACAAAATATTACACTTTCATTGTTTGCCTTGATAAAGTCGGAAGACGAAAGGCGTCGGAAAGAACTAAGATCTTTTTCCAATTATCATTTTTATACCAATTTGTCTTATCCAGAGAACTATTCTGACAAATTTAACTATATCATCGACATGGAAAAAAAAAAAACCTCTTAGTAAAAAGGAAATTATCAATATCCAGAAAGAGGCTTACGTAGTAACGTCTCTCTTTTTTAAATTTTGGATTATGTAACTATGGCCACAAAACATTTCGGTTTCATTGTTTGCCTTGATAAAGTCGACAAGAACTAAGATCTTTCCAATTGTCACGTAATGGCAGAGTACGTAATTACTTATTTAAGACGTTGCATACTGAGAAAGTCAATATTCGGATTATTTTGTGAATGAATTCAGAATGCACAGCTAACTTAGCCATGGAGTTTTAATTTGACTTCGAAAAGTTCAGAGGTCATCCAAGAACCACCATAGTCAAAACGCTGAACCAATACATTCAAAGGACAATGCAGAAAGATGCCACTTTTCGTTTGGAGAAGTTTACAATCAAGGAAGATCTGCAGCAAATTCGCAAACTCGCAGAGGACAAAGAAGTCTGGTAAAATATTGTCGAATCAGTAGACAATGTCACTGAAGATGAGAGAACATGATAATTCATGACCTCAAATCGAAACAGTTTATTTATACGATTTTGGTTTTTGATGACGTACCATTATATAACAAACTCAGTTGGAATTAGAACTCGGGTCTCCGATTAACAATTCCGTACTATTACCAGCCGCACATCCAAGCCCACAGCACCTGGTATTCCTAAGCGGTCACCCATCTAGGTACTGTCTAGACTCGACGTTGCTTAACTTCGGTGATCGTACGGGAACAGGAGTTTTAACGTGATATCGACGTAAACTTTCATATTACTCGCTGTTTCTCTTTGCTCTTTTTCTCCTCAATATGTCCTGTGCGTGTCAAACTCTTGAAACCTTCTTTCCTCATTATGTGTCCGAGAAAAAACTACCCAATTTTAATTCTAAAAAAAAAGTGTCCTAACCTAACCATAACTCTCCTTAAATAATTTTTATTAAAAAACCCTAACCCAATCATAATCCTAAACCCTAATCCCCTAACCTAATCCTAGAGTTCTAGGTTTTTATTGTCCTTAAAGCCTCCTTGTTCCTCACATGTTCTGTTCGTGGTTTTCTCAAAATCCTTCTGTAGAACCACATTTCCGTTACTCCAAGTCTCATCTTTATCTGTGAGGAAGTTGTCTAGTATTCACTGCTAGAGGGGTGGGATTGATATTACATAGCACTCTTATTTTTAAAAGAAAAGCGCAGTTTTCCTGATTTTTGCTATTTTGCTTAGCTTAGTTTTTGATGACATCTTCCGTTATTTAGATTCACATTCGTATTTCTGTGTCATATTTTCCGTCATCTGTTACAACACTTCCCAGATAGTTCAATTTCTGTACTGGCTTCATTCTGAAGTCTCCAATATATAGCTAACATTTTGGGTTGTCCCTTTTGCTAATGACCACACATTCTACCTTCTTGCAACTGATAGTTAGTCTTTATTTTCCTGAATAGCTGCATTCGAAATCCTGGATCGAAATTTGGTTAATATGGTGAGAAACAGGCAACAATTTTACTTTGCTTAATTTTGACACACGGCTACAAGTCTCACATGTCGAACAAATCGGTTTTCGAACAGAAAATTCGAGATGAAAATGCCTCGGTTATCGAACAAAATTTCGGTTCTCGAACAACATTGCCGAACCGAGTTAACCCGAATGGAATAATTTCTGAGTCGACCACCGTTGTATACATTCTCTTCCAATGTTATTGTACTGTGACTTTTTCTTTACATTGATTCCTATTGGAAAAATAATTTCGGTTTACGAACATTTCGTGTTACGAACGGCTTTCAGTAACGAATTAAATTCGTGAATCGAGGTTCTACTGTTTAAGTCATTCAATGAAGATCGAACTAAGTATTCAGTAGTAACTGTCAACAAGACTAGTTCACTCACCGACACTCCCTCAGCTAACCTGACTTAGATATTGACCTAGTGAGGAGGCATGGTGGAGTAATGGGTTGCCTCGGATTGAGTAATCGGGGAGCCGAGTTCGAATTCCAGTCGAATCCAGTATATTCACTTTGTGCTAATACCCTTGAAGAATTTAATATGAATTCCTTCTCCTTAGCTATGAGTAAATAGCAGGACAGACTGGGTTCTATAGCCTTGGGTGGCAGCTGGTCTATCGCAGAAAGAAATGGTAACCTATTGCAGGAAAAAATCTGCCTCGTCAGTTATGCATCGAAAGATACATGATCACCTACGCGTATATCAAGCATAGCACATAACTGACTGAGATAAAGAAATAATATTTCTTAGGTTATTGCCATTTTCTATAACATTTAGCCAAATAAGGTAAAGAAGTGTTACATTACTGAGGAAAACGGTTAAACTATACTGAATAAAAATAGCATTTAATTTGTTTTGTTTCTGGGAAAGCGAAAAAAAAGCTACGTATAATATGGCAATATCCAGTTGACAAGGTATTTTCTCTTTCACATTGATAACACCAAATACGTTGCCACAGTTATTTCTCTCTTTTTCAGGGTAGGGAGCATAAAAAAAAATCGGTCAAAAATGGACGTTTATTTAAAACAAATTTAGCTTCTAATTTTTCATTTTTTTTTTTTTAATTTTTTACACGAGAAATTATCTTAACAGACCCATCGTCAATACGAAAATCATTCCCCTCCTCCTCCACCTGTGAAAATAATGTGAACTAATTAATTTTCCTGTGCAGAATCTTAGCTGCGGCCTCCAGTCCCCACACTCAAAGCATTCTGGCGATCAGTCTTTAGCTTGGTAGTTATATTCACATTTCGGCTGTTATATTCTCCGACTTTCTTTGGGTGCCTGTTGCAGTTAGGAAATCTGGTAGAAATTTCGAACTGAATCCTTTTTAAAATCCAGTGGGGCAGATTGTTTTCCTTTTCTGTTCCTGCTAGGGAAGATCTTATATAGTTACCTCCACTAATTCGCCGAAAAAACAGCGTAGCGTTATGAAAAAGGCCCCAAAAACTTAATAAAAACAAAGTTTTATCGTTAAAATGTTTATGGTGTTATTAAGATGAAAGAACAAAGTATTTTTTATTATTTTATTAAAGTTTTTAATCCTTTCTTGCACGTTCGAAATTTTGGCTAAAAATCTTGATTTTTTTTTTATGTGTGTATGTCAGCGGTCGGCCTTAATATTTATTTCTATTTGTGTTTTAGCGTCTTTTTTCCGATAAAAAACACACACACATTGATTTGCTAATTCTTGCAAAAATCAAATAATTGTCGGATTTTACTGAAGCTTTCAAGACTTATTCACAAATGAATTAAATTATTTTTGAATTTTTTTTTTTAAATCTTGGTAAAAATATATTTATTTTACATGTGTTAGCACCCATTTACTTAATTTCATGAAATTTCGAGAAATTAAATTTTGATTGCAAAATTTGTTTTATTAGTTAAAAACAGGACTCCTTGGGGAATGTAAATCATCATTTTTTTTTTTTCGAACTGTTATTCATTTCTAGAAAATCTGCTCCGAATCTTAAAATAAAAAAATGCAATAAATCCATGACATTATTTAATTAGAAAAGATTTAATTGCTTTTATAAATAAGATTATTAAGGACAATATTGTATTAAGAAAACATATTATTCGATCAATAACGAACTTTTACAAGATGTGTTTTCATTGTTTTTAAATTTTAATTATTTTTTAATTTTAGTGATAATAATTTATAAATTTTCAAATCTTTTAACTTTATGCATTACTTTGATTGCGTTAAGTGATATTGTTATTAAGAGAAAACTATATTTACTAATGAAAAACTGAAAAGCTTAATACAAAACATTCTGCGCCAAGATTTTTCAAATAATTTTTAGTTTTATTTTATTTTTATGTATATAAAATATGTAACGTGCCCATTTTGAAATTATGGGCAACTATACAGGACATTATAAGAAAATAAGAGCGATGACTATAGTAAATTTAAAGTCAACATTCCTAAAATTATATTACGGAGTAATTAAATATATATATATATATATATAAAGGCGCTCACCCGTCAGTTTCTTAAATTATGTTTTACAGATAAAGTTTCCGTACAACAACAATAAACTTGTCATCTCTTGTCAATCACTTAAATCATGGCTACTGTCGATTAAAAACACAGCTACTGTTTTTTTTTAATGCATTTCTGTATTATTTTAAACTTAAAGTGAATAATATTTGTTTCAAATCAGATTAATTATACTTTAAAGCAGCTAATATTCCCAAAATAAAGTTTCAGGAAAGTAGATTGTAATTTTGCAAGATTTTTTAATACAGAGAATTATAATACAATGAAAGACGGCTAAAAATGGCTCTAATCATCTATTTTAGCACACCCTCACAAAAAAAATCAGTATAATTTCTGTTTGAAATATACCAGAGTATCTTGCTTACTTGAAATAGTAAATTTAATCCTTTAGCTTTCAATTAAAGCTAAAATGAAAGTTTCAAGATTTTTTTTTTCATTTTTAAAAATTAATTTTAAACCATGGGTATCGCGAATTAGTGGAGGTCCCTAATCTTATATTATTAAGTTCTTGTTATGGCAGTAAATGCTGGACAAGCTCATCAGAGATGAGGAAGAGACGTGAGGGAAAAGAAATGTGGTTCTACAGAAGGATGCTGAGAATATCATGGAACAATCACGTGAGCAAATTAGAGAAAATGTAAACAAAAAGAACACTTATAGCATCAGAAATTTGAATGCTGAAATTTCTAGGGCACATAATGAGGAAAGAGGGCTTAGAAAAATTGACACACAGATGTCATATTGACGGTAAGTGAAAGGAAAGACGTGTATAACCTATCTAACGAACTTGTCTATATAATTGGCAAAACAGGGATTAGGAGAAGTAGCAAAAAGACAAATTTGACTATGATCAACAAAGGACAGGAAGTTGTGAAGAACCATGATCGCTTACATTCTGAAGGGTCACAGCACACAGAAGAAGGAAAAAAATATCTTTGTTTATGTTTGTTTTATCCACTAACTTATGATATAGAATTTGACACTAGCCGATTTAAGGATTGAACTCATGGTTTTAATTTCTTCTTACAGAAAAATGAAGAGACACTTTTTAATTAATAAGCTACGCTAATTGAACTAAGAGTTACATGAATTGAAAGATGTTTACATTTAAAGATTGATTTGAAACACCTACTTGAAAGAAGTGCGGGTGAAAGTGGGAATGACTATGGATATTTTAAGGAAAGCCAATGATTGTTTTGAGAATAAGAATATCCATATATTTTTTCTGAGTTTTACTTTCTTTACGTGATCTTCTAAATAAAACTGTTGAACTGTAACTGACAATTCAGTGAGAGCATCAAATGACTAAATATAGCAGACGGAAGCTTCTGTTGATGAGTAATTTGCCTTTACTTCACACAAGTGAAATCCATTTATCAGGGCCAGAATTGGCGGAGGCTCCAGATTAAATTGTTTTAAAAGTTTTATTTAGTTCTCTAAAGTTGATAGCATTAACTATCGATTAGTAGAAAACTTATATTGACAGCATAGAAAATTTATTTTTAATAATTTTAATTATTTTTTTTTTGATAGAGAATAATAAACAATTGCATGCCTTGGAAACACACACACACACACACACACACACACACACACACACACACACATATATATGTATGTATATATGCATGTAAACAGATTGTGGACGGAAAAATCAAGACTGCATAGTGGCACATAGTTACTCGCGTTAAGCTACCATTAATCATACGTTACTCCTCTTTATGTGGGCTTTCTGTATATAGGCTCTCGTGAGCTTAGA